TTAAATATTTATTTCCTCCACTTTTATTTTCTCTACAATCCACCAACATTTAATCCACGTATATATTCCTTTGCCTTCCTCCTCGAAAAAGAAGGGTTCAGCGCGTGGCAAACAGCGAATAGTACAACTCGATTATCACATAACGCCAGCGTGCAACAACTGTATTCACTCGCGACGATGTGCATCAACCTTGTTGGCATATCCAACGGACGAAAAGGGTTAATAAATAATAATAATAAAAGGCAGGCCGCGGAGAGGATGTCTCCATAATTCATACAGGTTGATAAATAAACCACGCGGAGTGGAGGTTTGGACAAGAAATATTTCAATTACGATTATGATTAACTTATTTCGCGCGACATCGCGCTCGAAATGGCGGACAAGGATGCGCCGTGCAACCATTGGCCAAGGACGTAAATCAGGCGCGAGGCATCGATTCCTCGGAGCTAACGGTTCATTTCCACGGGGACAATCGCCGGATCCGATCCGAGACACGGGAATCGTGGCGGTGACGTCACGTTTGCTCGAGATTCGATCATGCCCCATTTCCAAGAAATTCGTCATTCGGCAATTTCTCATTTTTGGAAACCGTGTTTTCCATCCTTGATCTCACAATGAGATCTGGACGATAGTTTTATATTCATCTTCTTTGAAATTTGTAAGAAGCAAAGAGTATTTTCTATTTTTGATCTCAATGGACCATTATTGAGAGGAAAATATGTGAGTCCTTCTCTGAAATTTGTATGAAAAATAATCTTTGTAGCGAATCAATGATTTAGAAGATTGTTAGAGGAGGTAATGATGTGAATTTTCGAAAGGTATACCTTTTTTATCTTAAATTTATTTTTTTAGAATTTATTAGAAGAAGAAATAACGATAAGAGTTTCCGAAAGATCGAAAAATAACTTTAAATCGGACTTTAATGAACTTTAATGAATAGAAGATTTGAAATTTGTTGGATTTTTGAATCGAGTTGATGCGAATGAGACGTGGACCATTACTGAGAGGAAAATATGTGAGTCCTTCTCTGAAATTTGTATGAAAAATAATCTTTGTAACGAATCGATGATTTAGAACTTATTAGAGGATATGATAATGATGTGAATTTTCGAAACCTTATCCATCTTAATCTATTTTACCTTTTCATCATCATATCTTTTCCATCTTAAATCTATTTTTATAGAATTTATTAAGAGAAGAAATAACGATAAGAGTTTCCGAAAGATCGAAAAATAATTTTAAATGAATAGAAGATTTGGAATTTGTTGGATTTTTGAATCGAGTCGATGCGAAAGAGTGTTTTCCATCCTTGATCTCGTGACAATGAGATCTGGACGACAGCCTTATCCTCACTTTTTCTGAAATTTGTACGAACAATAATAGGGAATCTTTGTAAGAAATCGAAGATTTAGAAAAAGAAATAGCGATGATATTTCCATCTTAAGATTAACGATTATTGAAAATCTATTCTTCTTTCCGGAATTTGCTTTTGAGAAGAAGAGCAGAAATAAGGAAATATAGTGAGAATAGCGTGCATAGTAAAGGGAGAAGATCGAAACCAGGCAGACGATCATTCCGACCTAATTGGCCTCTGTCTTATCGTTAAGAGTACGTTAACCGAGTCGGCAAAAGAATCGGAAATATCCACGTGAAGAATTCTAAACTCACCTCAACGACGTTGCGCCACGAAAGGCCGAGAAAGAGCGCACGATACCTCGAGCCTGGACAACCATTAGGGTAATCAGCATTCTTCTTGGTCGGACAAGGTGGTTGACCCTTTTTCCCTACCCTCCTCCAGTCCTCCTCCAGAGTTCAACGTTGCGGCCACGCACTTGGTCCTTTCGATTTCTCCTCGCCTACGCCTGGAAAAAGGAACGTGGACGTTCCACGTCAGCCCAGAAACCACCTAGGGATTGGTCGATTGGTTTCCAAGGGTCGACGACATCTCCTAGAAAGATCGTAGAGGAAATTCCTCGAAAATTCGATCGTCGGAAAGCGTATTGATACAACGGTTCATCGGCTTCTATTTTGGGATCAGGTGCATCGGTGGGGAACTGATCGATTCGAAGGACGCGCCTCTCGTACCAGACCATTTTCGAGAAGAGGAATTCATTGGATTCGAAAATATTCGAGAGAAAAATATTTCTTCCTCATCTTGGAAATGTTTTCGTGATGCATTATTTCTTCTTTTCCTATTAAAAAAAAAAAAANNNNATTATTTGATACGCATCGTGTTTGTTTATCTCAACGCGATTGTTTCATAAG